ATCAATGGGTGCCGACAATATCCAGTGGACCAGGGCGGACGAAATACCAACATTGGGGAGGAGGTGTTGATCCTACATCAAGACCTACGGATCGGGATCTGGCTGGCTGGGGATCATGTGCCGCGAATACTGGGTTTTATATCGATCGGCTCTCGTCGTTACATGGAGTGGCAGAATCTGGGGCTGGAAGCTACGACGGACATTCAACCCGAAGAAGGGGAGGTCAGGAACCCACCGACGCCAGCAGTGGAGCGCCCGAGTATGAAACCCCGCGCACAATACTCCAAAGACCGAAGACATCCAGCACCAGAAAGTCGAGGCGAGTCAGGATCAAGATATTCCTGACTGCCCACTCTCCGAGAAGTCGCCGCCGGACAAGTCGCCGTCGGACAAGCCGCCGTCGGAGATGCGACCGTTGGATCTAGCGTCTGTCGTGAGCGAAGAGTCGGATCCATCGTATATCGCAGACGAAGACCCTATATTGCATGCCGTAACGGTCAAGGAGGCGCTAGAAGATCACGATCAAGTGATACTGGATATATGAGCGAAGGATCCGCTGGTGGAGAAAACCACGGACTTGGAAGGCTTACGAGACGACGATAGCCGAGGTGATCTCTAGGACGTCGACCTAGATCAACTGCATCCGATGGCGCAAGATCAAGGGACACCGCCGTCGGGACGCAGTGGGGCGGATCTGCCATCAATGATGAGTGTACACCCTGGGACAGGACATGTGACTGGTGATCTATTGAACGACAAGTGCATCACGTCTATGTCGCAGAAAACGGACATGGATCCATTACCTGTTGAGGGAGATCAGCCAGACACATCGGATCTGGATCTTACCTGGGACTCAGATCAAAATTATGATGAATGCGTATATTACCATGAAGGAAGTGATCTATTCGCCAAAGATGTCGATGGTCAGATGGCGGTGTTGCCCGAAGTACCTGTGGCGACGGAAGATGTGAAGATCGAAGACATTCAACTATGCGGATCTGACAATGAAACTCCAGAGGAAGTCGAGCGACTCCGCCAAAAGATCTTTAAGTTCCGACATCTCTTGATCGGGAAGGGAAATGCCCTTCCGCCGGCAGCTAGAGGCGTGGTATGTGACATCGACGTCGGGGGTGCGAGACCCATCCCCCTCAAGCGTCGTAAGTTGCGGATCCAGTTCAGGGAGAAGCTAGCAGACCTGATCAACGGTCTATAGTCCGCCAAGATGATCAACTATTCTCGATCACCTTGGGCTTCCCCCATTGTGGTGATCATTAAGAAGAATGGGGTGGGCATCAGGCTATGTATTGAATATCGGTTGGTTAATAGCCTGACACAATTGATGGTATACCCAATGTTGCCCTTGATCAACGACCTACTCGAAGATCTGGAGTCGACCCTTTGGTACTGTTCTTTGGACATGGCAAGTGGGTTCTGGGTAGTGAAAATGACGGATCGTGCTCGTTTGATCTCGGCTTTTGTCACCCCTTTTGGACTATTTGAATGGAATCGAATGCCTTTTGGCCTGAAGAATGCGCCCCAGATCTATCAACGTATGATCGATAACGCGCTATATGGGTTCACCCGGATCCCGAAGTCTGATGATCACGGAAGTATGGCGGATGTGTTTGAGGACGGAGTACCAGTGGATCCAGGCAGGCCTTCGGTGCTGGACCGATCATACATCGATGACATCCTGATCCCTGCTAATAGCTGGGACCAGCTATACGACCGAGTAGAGGGATTGCTCGAAGCGTGTGATAAGTGGAACCTGTCGATCAGCGTAGTTAAAAGTTTCTGGGGAATGCCCAAGCTCGAATATCTAGGTCATAAGGTCTCACACAATGGACTGGAGGCGAACCCGAAAGATTTGTCGGCGTTGACGGATGTAGCATTCCCAGGATCACTTCGAGCTATGCAGTCATTTTTGGGAAGTCTGAACTACTATAGTCGATTTATCGAAGACTACTCGATCTACGCGTCGGTTCTGTACGAATTGCGAGAAATCGACTTCGTTGCGATGGCGAAGGAGGCTACCCAAGAACGGATCCAACAAGTATTGGAGGCAGAAGGCACAGATCCAAGATCACAGGAAGATCGGAACGTCGATTACCGAAGAACCCTAGATCCGGAGGCACCTGACCCTACCGGGGTGGATCCGCGCTGGATCCATCCCCATCGGACCTTCAACGTGCTTAAAACCAGGATTGCTACAACTCCGATCTTACGACATTTTGACCCAGATCGGAAGGCCACAGTGGTGGTGTACGCTAGCGACTGCTCTATCTCGGGGGCCTTGATGCAGGAATACGACCAGGTCTACTACCCCGTAACGTTTGCGAGCCGTACTTTGATGTCAAATGAGTTAAACTATGGCATCGCGGAGAAGGAAGTGTTAGCCCTTCTGAGGATCCTGGATCTAAATTACAATACGTTGGTTGGACGTCCGATCCATGTGCTAACCCGACACTCGACATTGGCGTGGCTTTTCAGATCCACGGCTTTGCAAGGACGTCTGGGACAATGGGCGACTCTATTGTCGCCTTGGACGCTGGAGATTACTAAATGTATCAAATGAGAGGACGAGATCTTGGGAGCACTGGCAGCTAGTATAACCCCTAGATCAGAAGTGGATAAGGCGTTGATCTCAATCGCCCTCAAAAAGGAGCCAAGACGGAAGATTCAGGCTCCGATCCCCACTATCAGGCGAGAAGAGGACTTATACGTTGTGAGTTTCGATGGATCGGCCCGTGTCAAGAGAGGTGGAGGCGCCTATAGCGCGATCTTGTGGAAGCTGCCCGAATGGAGAGTGCTGAAAGCCAGATCGGGGTATGCCGAAGGCTTGACGGTGAATGAAGCGGAATATCATGGCCTGCTACTATGTCTGGATCTGTTGGAAGATCTGGATCCACAGCGTCTGGTGATCTGCGGAGACCTGGTGATCCGACAAGTACGAGGAGAGATCGACTGTAAGGCGCCAGGCCTGACACTGTTACGCCAACGAGCCTTGGATCGATTACGTACATGGCCAGATCATGAACTATTGCACGTCAAACGAGACTGGAATGGGAGTGCTGACAGCATAGCAAGCGCTGCTCTACAACGGCAATGCGGGATCAAAGTAGAATCTGACGCGGAGATCCAAGTTCTCATAACGTTGAACAGGTTGGAGGAGATCCTGGTAGTGAAAGTCGAAGAAGAAACTGCACAGGTATCAACGGTGACGACTCGATCTAAGGCTAGGTTGGGGGTGCGTGTAGGATCTGATCCAAATTCCCTACGAGAGGAAGTCGTGAGGGAGTTACGGATCGAGCGGATCCGACAAGCGCAGGACGAGGAGTCGTGGATCATAAGCTTGAAGAAGTATCTAATCGGAGAGATCCGGGATCTGACGCAGAAGAAGCTAAAACGCTCGGATCCATCGCCACAAATTACGAAGTGTATCAGCAGGATCTACTCTTCTACTGTCCGACATCCAAGGAGGCAGCTGCAGATCGAGATAAGCTGATACGACTAGTGATACCTGAGACGCTTCAACAAGACATTCTACATCACTACCACACGAGTCTACAGGGCGGCCACCAAGGGATCGGCCGTACCTATGATCGGATCCGTGATCATTTCCATTGGAGGGGTTTGTACAAGAGTGTACAACATTATGTGGGGGAATGCGTCGACTGTGAGACAGACAAAGGAAGACCTCGGATCCAGGGTGAGTCGCCTGGTAACCTTCAGGCAACATACCCATTTCAGATCATTGCCATGTATCATATACCCTCGCTGCCTAGATCCTTCAACGGTAACACCGAATTGCTGGTTTTCGTGGATCTGTTCACAGGATACGTAATCGCCAAGGCTAGTGCCTCCAGATCCGCTCAAACAATCGCCGAGACTTACGAAGAATGTGTCTTTCGACGATTTGGCGCGAGCGAGGTGATTCAACATGATCGGGAGCCAGGCTTTATGTCTGATTTCTTCAAGTCGTTTAACAAGATCCTGGGACAACGCCAACGGGCCACCATGGCGTATAGACCACAAGCCAATGGATCTGCGGAACGTATGGTCCAGACAACTACTAGATCTCTCAAGATGTATGTGGAAGATCTAGATCAACAAGATTGGGATGAGGATGCTGAACGACTCACCTTCGCGATCAATACCGCAAGGGATCGGATC